CATATTTGCATTCTTAGCATTGTCTCATCATATTAACTGAACATCATTTTATTTTCGCTAAGACATCTTCAGCTCAGAAGATGGGGTCACCTGCTCTCTTATTCTGGCAGTACAGTGTTCCTACATTGCCCTCCCAAAGGAATGCAGCCTAATACTACATGAAAACAGAGCCTGTAGTTTTACACCAGCCACACAGCTAATCTCTAGTAGTTTGGGTTTTGCTTCCTTTTATTTATAGGATTTTAAGAATGAATTTCATTTTAGAAATGAAATAAAGTCGTTTGGAGTTCTTTTACTTCAACCTTCTTGGGGATGGAAGAATAGTTAAAGTAAGGGCCTATAAGTTAGGAAGCTTGTGTTCAAGTTTCTGCTCCATTGCAGATTTACTGGGCAAAATTTCAGATGAATCACTTCTCATTAGCAAGTTTTCTGAGACACGGAAAAATTCCCTTTTTTTAGAGAGATGTTCTGGGAGAATTCTATTCTATTACGAAGTACTCAGCTATGCTGCTAATACTGCCCTACTAAATTCACTGACAATCCTTTTGACTATGGAATCATTGACAACTCCTGTTTGCCTTTACAGGAAAGCTGAAAAGTCTTTTTTGTATGTCTTACTAATGCTCAAATTAATGTTTTCAATTGCTCTGCAATTACCTCACTGAATAGTAAAAAAGAATTCAGCACTTCCACGATGCTTAGTACATCTTAGTTCTCTTTTCCCTATTAAGCACAAATTACTAATACTTTTTAGCTTCTACTGTTATTTGTCAGCACCAATACCCTTGTGACATTTGCTCCAATTAATTTTAAAACTGTTTTTCCAAACATTTTTCATTACTCCTGATGATAACCAGCATTGGCATTCGCAACACAAATCTCCAAGACAGCTACAAAATTGCACCACTTGCACATGCATATTCTTTCTCTTTAGGAAAAAAAAGGAAACAACTGATGTGTATTGCCAAAAGTTAAAATGACTGGCTACTGACCTTATCCGCTGTAGCACCACTCCTGAAGAAAGGAAATCCTATTCTCCACCTTACTCCCAAAGCAGGCCTAGACATAGAAGCAAGTCATTGAAAAACATTCTCTACCAACACATCTTACAGCTATCCCACCTCAGCACTATCTATTTTAGTGATTTTTTCAGCTGGGTTGGGTTTTTTTCCCAGATTTTTTTTTTCATTATTAAAGCTAGTTTTCAGCTTTATGAGTAGCAGCTTTTCTGATGCTTTCCTGACATTCATTTTCCTGAAAGTAAGTACAGGTCAACAGCTTTATTATTGGTTGTAAAATGACAACATGCTCTTTTCTTTGTAAGCCACATGTAGCACCTGCCTTAAAGACCTCACGGTCCAATGGCATAGCTCTGCAAATGTGTGCAGTCACAGTGAGGACAGCAACTGTATTCATGTACACTGCTTAATAAGGCCTTAAATGAGCAATTCAAGCAAGACTACATTATCCAGAGCTAAGACTGAGAACAAAAATTAGAGACCAATTTAAAGGAACATCACAAAAAGGAAAGAAGCAGAGGTAAAATGTCACAACTTTAATTCAGAACTTAAAATCAGGTACTAATCTGTATAGGGACACACACTGAGGAATTTAACTTAAGAGTGCAGGAGCAGGCAATTCCAAGGTGTCAGAAGTCAAGCAAGTGGGGCAGAAGGCTGGCTTGGCTGAGCAGGGATCTTCTTCTAGAACTTAGGCAGAAAAGGAAAGTGTATGGACGTTGGAAGCAAGGACAGGCGACATGGGAGGACTACAGAGAAGCTGTTCACCACTGCAGGGAGAAAATTCATGCGGCCAAAGCTCGACTAGACTTCAAGCTGGCAAGTACTGTGAAGGACAACAAAAAGGGTTTTTTTTAAATATGTTAACAGCAAAAGGAGGATCAGAGATAACATTGGTCTGTTACTTGATAAGGCCGGTCACCTCCCAAATAGGGACGCAGACAAAGCGGAGATGTTCAATGCCTTCTTCACCTCTGTCTTCAACATCGATGATGGGCCCTGGGACGCCCCGAGCCCCATGTTGGAAGACCGTGACTGGGGGAATGATAAACTCCCAGCCGCCCCTGAACTTGTTTGAGACTTTGTGCTCCAGCTGGATGTGCATAAGTCTATGGGGCCCAATGGGATTCATCCCAGGGTACTGAAAGAGCTGGCTGATGTTATTGCGGGACCTCTCGCCATTATTTTTCAACAGTCTTGGGAGTCTGGAGAGAAAATTGTCCCAGTTTTCAAGAAGGGTAAGAAGGAAGACCCTGGTAATTACAGATCTGTCAGTCTCAATTCAGTGCCTGCTAAAATTATGGAGAAGGCTATTCTGGGAGTTATTGAAAAACACTTGAGAGACAATGCAGCCAATTTCCTTTCATGACAAGGTCACCCATCTAGTTGACCAAGGGAAGCTAGCAGATGTGGGTTTTTCTGGATTTTAGCAAAGCTTTTGATACTGTCTCTCACGGTATCCTTCTGTGCAACATGTCCAGCGTACAGCTAGACAAGTCCATAATACATCGGGTGAACAATTAGCTGATGGGTTAGGCTCAAAGAGTTGCAGTAAATGGGATTACATCAGGCTGGCGGCCAGTCACCAGTGAGGTTCCCCAGGGCTCAATTTTAGGGCCAGTGCTCTTTAATGTCTTTATGATCTGGACACGGGAATCAAATGTACATTAAGTTTGCTGATGATACTACACTAGGAGGAGCTGTGGACTCCCTCAAGGGTAGAGAGGCCTTACAGAGAGATCTGGAAAGACTAGAGAGCTGGGCAATCGCCAACCATATGCAATTTAACAAGAGCAAGTGCCGCATTCTGAACCTGGGATGGGGTAATCCTGGTTATACATGGAAATTGGGGGACGAGAGGCTGGAGAGCAGCCCAGTGGAAAGAGATCTGGGTGTTTGGGTTGATGGCAAGTTGAATATGAGTCAACAGTGTTCCCTGGCAGCCAGAAAGGCCAACTGTGCCCTGGGGTGCATCAAGCATAGCATAGCTAGCCCGTCGAGGAAGGTGACCGTCCCACTCTATACTGTACTGGTGTGGCCCCACCTCGAGTACTGTGTGCAGTTTCGGGTGCCTCAATAGAAGGACTATTAGAGTGTGTCCAGAGGAGGGTGACCAAGATGGTGAAAGGCCTTGAGGGCAAGACTTACGAGGAGCAGCTGAGGTCACTTGGTTTGTTCAGCTTGGAGAAAAGGCGGTTGAGGGGTGATCTCATCGCAGTCCACAACTTCCTCAAGGGGGGCAGTGGAGGGGGAGATGCTTATCGCCTCTCTCTGGTGACCAGTGATAGGACACGAGGAAATGGAATGAAGCTGTCAGGGGAAGTTCAGATTGGGTATTAGGGAAAGGTTCTTCACTCAGAGGGTGACCTGTCAAGGGAACTGGGTCCCCAGGGAAGTGGTCACAGCACCAAGCCTGTCAGAGTTCAAGGAGCATCTG